CGAGGGGTAATCAATGGACACACTCAACGAGCGCACAACACGATCAAAACCTATAGCACGCTCGCTAATGTTCAGCAGTAAAATCGAGAAATGCCGTTACCTCGCTCAATTACAATCCCAGCAGCCCCAAGGTGGTAAAACTCGGCCAATAAATAAGCCCCGTATAAGCGGCGCCGTTACAAAAGTAGCGCCGTTAAAATTTCAGATGCAAATAGTATTCGGTTAAGTGCTCTATTTCAGACGAAATCTTTTTAGTGGCGGCCGTGTGTGATTTCCCTCGATTCCCTCTTCTTCACTAAAAAATATCTTTGGATTTTATAAATCAAATGATTAAAACGCTTTTAAAAATTTTCACTCAAATGTAATACCTGTCCTGGTAGTTGTTTTGAAATAGGCTTTCAGGTTTGTGCAGGAATGTTTCCGTAATACCGTAGGAAATGAATGTTTAGTGCGAGCGCCGCAAAATTCGCCGTATTTCTTCATCAGCGAGATATGCAACACAATTAGCGTAATGAAAATATATTTGCAGGTGAGTTCCTGGCGTCGCGGCGCCGCTATAAAGAAGCGTCAGTTATGTACGAAAAGGCGGCAGAATTGCGGCCACACGACTACGAGTTGGCGGTAGCGGCGGCAACGGCGATGAGGCAGGCGGGAAAGCACCAGGAGGCAGAACATTGGTACAGGACGGCGGTAGACCTAAAGCCTTCCGTAAGTAGATTAAACAAATTTATTGTAGGGAATCTTTTCGATGCACCTCTATGAACTTTTATTCGGATTTGATAGAGCGGGCGTATTAGAGTGCCGATCGAAGCGGCTTGACTAAAGAAAGAAATCTCTTAGAAGGATATGATAAAATGGAAATGAAGCTCTGCAGCGACTTTTGTAGCTTAGTCGTGGCAGCTTGTTAAGTTGGCAGAAGATTTCAACGTTTTTTTTCTTTTAAATCGCCTTAATTACGATTATGACATTTTCAGGCTGAACGTAAAACTGAAGGCAATTTTGCCCAAAAGTCTGTTCTGTTAATTGTATATTTAATGAGTTTTCATCTTCATATCGTTCAAAATTTAATTATACGCGAATAAAGGGTTAAGAGGTTCTTGTAACAGAAACGGTATTAAGAAATTTTCCAAAAAAATCATCTCGGTGTATTACGAGAGTACTTTGTCGATATTAGTAGCGTAAAGTCCTTGTAATCCCGGTGGAACTTTCTCTTTCAGGATGCTCGCAGTCATACGAATTTGGGAGCAATCCTCCACCTGAACGGCAAATATAGTGAAGCTGCCAGCAGCTACAAGGAGGCATTAAGACTTCAACCAGACGACATCACCACGTTGACGAATCTACATAAGCTGCACAGCGTAATGACTTGACACTGAAAGCGTTGAAAACGCTCTACGTTTTATTATCAACGAAATAAGGAGAAATATATCTATGTGCTACGTGTGCTTCTCTACGCCGACGTTTTGGGACCACCCCGTATTGCAACACTCGGCATACCACGAGACTCTGACAATATGAATGACGATCGATAGTGATATTTTTGTTAGGAACTGTATTTTTTCAGACGTCACTTTCAGCGTGATATTCTGTACATAAAGTAAGTTGAGTTTCTTGGATTTTCATGCGACGTTACGTTTTTCTTATGAAAAGTAAAATGTTTACATATCTTTTTATCAGTGTAATGTAATTTTTGAATTGGATAAAAGCTTCTCGAATATTATTCCCTTGGAATTGTAAGCTTTCAAAATAATATTATTACCATATTGTTGGCTTTTAATGGGTCGTATATTGTAATTAAATCTGTATTTAATTAAATTGTAAAATAAAGCTTTAACTTATTTTGTGTATGCGGCGGTTTCATTTTGTCCCTAATTACCACCACTCCATCTCACACCTTTTTAAAAATAGACATTTGTGGCACCGACTTTGAAATTATTCAACAACATTTAATCGGTTATAACCCAGCTGATATCACCTAGAAATTTTATTAAAACTTTTCTTTTTATTTTTCAACCGTTCTTAAGAATTCACGTCGAATAATAAATGTTCTTTTTATAACCAAGTGCGTGCAATTACAAACTAAAATAACGACGTTAACGACAAGGATAATCACGTAACTCAGACTTTATTACACTTAATCCTGATGTAATTTCAGCTACCTAACCAGGTTTTTTCAGATACCTACTCCCATAAACTTAATTAAGATCGATGCAATAATTAAACCCGGTAAAAAGCAACAACCCGGATGATCCTCGAATATTTACAACAGCTTCGTTTTTAATTTTCAACATAATGTTATTTATTCGAACAGTTTTTTATTGATTCATTATTTTAATTTCCCCAAAGTAAAAAAAAATATTACAATGCGGGCGTGTCTTTCTATAAATAAACATTAATGTATTTGTTACAAATAGTAAAAATAGAACGTCTTCTTTGATTATTCGCTTAAGAATAGATTGTGGAGATCAGTCCACCGCATCCGGACTTTTCCAAACCGGAAAAGTTGTTGGATAACTCCTTTCCGGGCGAGTCGATATCCCGTCTTCAACTTTGAATCTCGTTTACGAATTTATTTGGGCCATGCTTGACGATATTTTGTCATAAGTTCCGGACACCGCACGCAAATAATCCGACTTTTCAGTTTTCCGAGCCGACAATGTGGCGACATTTCATTTTAAACCAAGTTTCGCCGTCTTTAATTAGATTTGAAAACGCGTGAAAAGGTTTTTTCAAGACATGTAGTTCAGTTTTTGTTTCAAGCTCCACTTTATCTATCCATCATTAAGTTTTTGAGATCCTAATTACATTTATGTTCAAAGTTTTGCGTCGGAGTCAGTCCTTGCGAATTTACGTCCGTGTAGTTTTTAATTGAAGTATTTAAAGTGGTTGCAGTCTTGCTAGATGTACGTCCTCACGGTTCAAGTACCTCGTAAGTTGCAACTCCCGACGAAGCAAAGAGATAAAAATGTTTAGATAAGAAATTTTTAATGTGTCAATTAGCCGACAAGTAAAAACATTAATTAATTTTTTTCCGAAAAAATCCTTGTGATAAATCTTTAGTGGACTTGTTGCTAGCGTTTTCTCTGAATAAAAAAGTCGATGTGTCGTTTAATGGACGCGTAGCTCGACCCGAGTTTAATTTAAATAAATTTAAAAATCCACCAGGATCTGTTTTAGAACTGAAAGACAATTTTCTGAAGCTGGTAAAAGTCTATATTGCGTTTCCGAAGCTTTGATGGAAGCTTTACCCGAGAAGGGACATGAAGTTACGGTTATTAGCCATTTCCCTCAGAATGCCGAGATACAACGATATTAGTTTAAAAGATACCGCGGTTGCTTTAGTCGATGCCGTAATATTACGAAAACGGAAATTCCAACCCGAGGATTCCACCGGTTCTTCTTCGGTACCACCGGCTCATTAAACAGCGCGAGATGATTTTTATTTAAACCAATTCCGTTGTAATATCCTACCAACTCGGGAAGTATTATTTACATTCTCGGCGTTCAGACTCGATTACCGATGATGGCAGAATGGAAAAAAGTCAAATTACACTCTCGGAACAGGGCAATAAAAGATAATTCCGTCGGAAAATCTTGCTTTTTTACTACTGTTTATACTACTGAACAGACAGTGGATCAAAACTGACTAGGCAGCCAAGAAAACATTTCAAAATTAACTACATAATATAATGTTGCTAAATTATTAGAACTAACTAGAATATTTCGTTTCAATATTTTATTAAATGACATTGCCACAACAAAAGCAATTAACACTTTCACAAATAAATAAATTTGCATATCTTGTCTAGACGATGTGGCAGTCCAATAAATTTAATTTTGACATTGGTAATTAATTTGAACTACCTTCATAAATAAAATAGGTATATTGACCTAATTGTATCTGCACTCCCATCACTATCTACATGCAAAATAAACAAACGTGGCACCAGTCGGTTATTATTACCACCAGTGAGAGGTTATTCCTCTAGTTTACATCAATTACATGACGTAGCAGTAGTGCAACTTCGTAAATTCACAAGTGAATATCAATAGTGTTTTCGTGTACAACAAACCGCGTTGTTTTCGTGTTACATAACCAAATGATAAAATGCCGGCGCGAGTTGCTCTATCTTTAAAAATTCTCCTATTGTTCACAACGCTGGGCCATTCGTATCGAATTTTGGGTTTATTTCCTCATCCGGCTAAAAGTCACGTGAACGTGTTTTATCCCTTGATGAAGGGCCTGGCGCTAAAAGGCCACGATGTTACGTTCGTGAGTCATTATAAATTTAATGATAATATATCAACACTCAAAGAAATGCAAATCGTGAATCCGGGGGCGGATTTGGTTGATGCCATTGACATGTCCCAGCTATTGGGCAACAGAATTCAGATGTACTTAAATAATGTACTTCTTGCATACTGGGCTGTGAATACGTGTCATGATGGTTTATCTTCGCCGGTGTTTCAAGAGTTGCTCAACAGTGACGAATCTTTCGATTTAGTCATAATGGAATTCTTCAATACGGATTGTTACGCACCGTTTGCTTATAAATTTAAGGCGCATTTGATCGGTCTGAGTTCCTGTACCATCATGCATTGGACTCATGAAAGATTTGCCAATATTTATAATCCGTCCTATATTCCCATCACTCATATGGATTACAGTGACCGACTGAACTTCTTTGAGAGAGTCGAGAATACAGTTCTTGGAATTCTTCATGAAATTCTTTACAATTATATTCTGAGATATAACGATGAAAGAATCGCTAGAATGTACTTCAAAGAAGATTTTCCTTCGCTTACGAAAATTGTACACAATGCAAGTGTCTTCCTAGTCAATACTCATTTCAGTCTGAATTTACCAAAACCACTAGTTCCTGCTGTTATTGATATTGGAGGAATTCACATTAATAAAGTGAAGAAGGTGCCGCAGGTGGGTATTTTTACAAATTTATCTATAAATAAAACGTTAAAGGTATGTAAGTTTTATACACACATTGACAGTTCTGAAGAGTTTAAATACATGAAATATCCAGGTTGAGTAAATACAAATTCCACTTAAATTTTGTGTTGTATTTTCACCCAAAAATTAACTTGCCCCGTTTTATAAATAATCAGTGATAAGAAAAATAAACATTGATTATTGAGACCACGACTAGACAAATCGAGTGATAACATATTGAATTAATAAGAGCAATTGGGATTAAATTTGATATGTCATCGTAACTTTAGCTCGTAAGAAATTATGCTCTAATAAATTTCTCAAGTTTCAATAGCCGTCGTAATCAAGAGGATAAATTCTTATAAGGTACAATACGTTGTAATTGCAAAACTAGTAAAAACTATCCCGGACGTATCTCTAATTACATAATTGCCTCAAAAGTTCTTATCTGAAAAACTAATTTCGAACGGTTACCTTTGATGCCACAAACAGTGACCCTTTATCTCAAGAAGGTGCACAAACAGTAAAAATAAATCAATGGCTCGAATCCAACTGTAGTCGTTTGTTAGCAGTCGCGCAATATGTCTCTGCACGCGTTAATAGTGTTATCAAATTTATTCCTCTTGGTCCACTCTTACAAAATCCTGGCGTTGTTTCCTCATCCCGGGAAAAGTCACGTAGACGTCTTTCTTCCTTTAACGAAAGCTCTAGCAAGAAAAGGTCACGAAGTTACCGTGATCAGTCACTTCCCGTTGAAAACACCACAAATCAACTACATAGACGTGAGTCTAGGGAACGAATCCACCCCCTTAGTTAACATACTCGATATGGATAATAAAACAAAAACGAGATGGGACAGATGGGGTATTATACACCTACTAAAAGAATTCGCAAAATATTCGTGCAAAACTGGATTCGAATCGCCTCACTTGCAAGAGTTTCTCAAACATCAACACACTTTTGACGTGGTCATTGCTGAATTTTTCAACAGTGATTGTTTCGCTGGGTTACTGAATAAATTTAAAGCACCATTGATTGGTATTAGTTCTTGTACCATAATGCACTGGACTAATGAGAGATTTGGGAATCCCACGCATCCAGCCTACATTCCAAATAATCTCCTGGATTTTAATGACCGAATGATGTTTTTTCAGCGAATTGAAAATCTGTTAATTGGAATGTTTCATCAGTTTTTTTATAACAAAATCATAATGAACACAGATGAAACGGTTATTCAAAAATATCTCGGATATGAAACACCAACGCTCAAACAAATTGTTTTTAATGCCAGTTTATTGCTAGTAAACACACATTTCAGTTTAAATCTACCGAGGCCTCTAGTACCTGCTGTAATCGAAGTTGGGGGGATTCACATTGATAAACCAAAAAAATTACCACAAGTAAGTAAACTCATTCACGATTTTTTCCTGCGTTCTGCGTTCCCGCCCCGTTATAAATAAAAAATAGTTGGTAGTTTTCCAACAGCTGACGCTAACGTAACCGTTCCGAGGCAATCCAAGTCAGTTGTAAATCTCCCATCACCGTGTACTCGCGACTAGTGGCATGTGTTTAAAATTTATAATCTTGTTCTTAAATTTCTTTTTCGTGGCCGATTCGTACAAAATTTTGGCTTTATTTCCCCATCCGGGGAAAAGTCATGTAGACGTTTTTCTCCCACTGACAAAGGCCTTAGCTTTGAGAGGTCACGAAATCACAGTAGTCAGTCACTTCCCTTTACCAACTCCCATACCTAAATATACAGACGTAAGACTTGGAGACGACACGACTCCTCTAGTTAACATCCTTGACATTGACAATTATCAAGAAAGACGTGTGAGAAAATGGCTAGAGCCGTATCTCTTGCACCAAATTGCTCAACACTCGTGCGAAATCGGGTACCAGTCAAAGTCTCTTCGAGATTTTCTTAAACGAAATGAAGCTTTTGATCTAATCATTGCGGAATTTTTCAACAGCAATTGTTTACTCGGACTGGTGCATAAATTCAAAGCACCACTGATTGGAATAAGTTCCTCGACGATTATGCACTGGATCAATGAAAGATTCGGCAATCCCTCCCATCCTGCATACATTCCAAATAATCTCATGGACTTTTCGGATGAGTTAAGTTTTTTTGAAAGAATCGAAAACCTTCTCGTGGGATTGGTACATCAAGTATTTTTTACGTATTATGCGTCACGAAACGATGAACAAATCGCGAGAAAATATCTAGGAGAAGATTTACCTCTAATAAAAAATGTGATAATGAACAGTAGTTTACTACTCGTTAACACTCATTTTAGTTTAAACCTGCCGAGACCTTTAGTACCTGGCATTGTAGAAGTTGGAGGAATACATATTAATAAAATTAAAACACTGCCAAAGGTAAGTAGGTAATATTTACAAAAACACTTCCATTATCTTTTTATATTACTACATATGAGCAAATGTATAAACTCGGTGTAATAAAAATTCGAGTCAATGAACTATAATTATAGTGCTACGATCACGATATCCAAAGACCTCCTCTCATGGTCTCATGACATAATAGTTGGTTTCCCGTTTGCAATTTTTAAACATAATCAAGTGAAATAAATTTTACACATGCACCCAAGTGATAAAACTTATCTTTTCTACCCAAGATAAAGGAATTATTTATGCACTGAAAAACGCATTCAAGTATTTGCTGTGCAACATGTTGATCCAAGTTCTTGTGTTGTTAAAAATTTGCTTGTCGGTGCATTCTTACACTATTCTCGCACTTTTTCCACATCGGGGCAAAAGTCACGCTAATGTTTTCCTCGCACTGACCCAGGCTCTAGCAAAAAAGGGCCACGAAGTGACTTCAATCAGTTACTTTCCTTTGAAGACACCTCTTCCTAACTATATCGACATCACTTTAGGAAATTCCTCGTCTCATTTTGTTGACAGGATTAATCTAAACGACTATCAGGGTTTTAGGACGGAGAGATGGTTTATTCTTAGAACACTAAACAATTTTTCGCTCGGCATGTGTCAACAGGATCTTAGTTCTCCATCGCTTGAGGATTTTCTCAAAAGCGGGAGTAAATTCGATGTTGTCTTGACTGAATATTTCAATTGTGATTGCTTTTTGAGTGTTTTGCATAAATTTAAAAGTCCGGTGATTGGGGTCAGTACGTCGACTGTTATGCATTGGACGAACGAGAGATTTGCTAATCCTACCAATCCGGCTTATATTCCCAATAATCTTTTGAATTTTTCTGACCGAATGTCATTTTGGGAAAGAATCGAAAATTTTATTGTAGGGCTTTGGCAGGCGTTCTATTACGAGTTCTTTATGTTACCAAATGGAGAAAAAATTGCGAAGAAATTTAGTAATTTTTCGTCTCTGAGAGACATAGTTTCTAATAGCAGCTTGTTACTCGTAAATAGTCATTTCACTTTAAATCTGCCACGTCCTTTAGTACCTGCGGTAGTTGAAGTTGGAGGAATTCATATTGTAGAGGTGAAAAAATTGTCACAAGTAAGTTTTATTTTTCGATTAGTTAAATTTATAACCATTTCGTGTTTCTGTTAGATACTAATTAATTATTCTAGATACGTATCAATATCATCGAATACCAGAGTTTCCATCAAAATAACATATTAATTCGTTTTATCGTTTTTTTGACTATGTCATAACTTCACTAGCAATTATGAAAAATACTTCCTGTCAGCTCGTTAAATATTGTTTTCAGCAATTTTCCAGCTCGTTGAAATTATTCCGATTCTTCCCTCATTTCATGCCCCTAATAACTCCTTTTCTTATTAATTCAATTCATATAATAAACGTCCAAAGCGCATAATTGTACACAATTAGTCGTGAATAGACGTGATGAAACTCAAAAGGATAATTGCTGCCGTTTCCTGAACAACATCTCAAAGAATATTTCTTGCGAAAATAACGGTTCACCGACCCTGGCGTTATTATTTTAGTAGTGTAAGATGTAGTGGAGTCTGTCCACATGTGTGTTAAAATTCATGGAGTTTGGTTGAATAATTCTGGCACGTCGAAAACAGAGTTGCTTGAAGATTGTATTTAATAGATAAGCCAGGAAATGAGTTTTCTAAGAAGTATTTAGAAGACTTGGCTGTTGTAGGTAGGGAAGATCTTGCGCGTAATTCCGCTTTATTACTCGTTAAGTTATATTAAAGTTTAAATGGGCCAAGGTTTGCATTATTGGAGCTACACTGTTTAATAATTTGACGCAGAGTTATTAAATCTGACGCGTTCTCTCGCGTTTGTAAAATGGCGTTCTTGTAGCGAGATGGTGATTGATGGCGTTGTGTATATGTGAATTTATGGTCCCGGATCAGGAGTAGCGCCTTTAAAAAAGCTCCGGCTTATTATTTAACTTTATCGACTTCCTTTATGAGGGCATTGAATCACGATTTAGTACATAATAGTGATATAATTCTCATATTCAGACCTTGAAACGTTTAATTCGTTGGACGATTTATTGCAGGACCTCGAAAAATGGATAAACGAATCCACCCACGGAGTTATTTACTTCAGTCTGGGCTCGATGATCAAAGGGCACACGTTTCCCGATGAGAAAAGAAGCGAATTTTTGAAAGCTTTCGGACGTTTGCCGCAGCGAGTCCTTTGGAAATGGGAGAACGAAACGATGTCGGGAAAACCAGACAACGTAATGATCCAGAAGTGGATGCCTCAACTTGACATTCTCTGTGAGTATTAAACAAACGACCGACGGAAAGAAATCTTCAATAATTCAAACCACCAAATGCAAAAATGACATTGACACTGAAAACCGAACTGAACGTTTTAATATTGAAACGCTCGGCGCGGTCCCAACATCTGACATCTCACATAATAAAACTTCCCTTTGGAAAACCCCTCACTCATTTTTACCAACCCCAATTTTCACTCTTTCAGCGACAACTATTTCATGCAATCCACGAACGCGTCTCTACTAGTTTTATTTCATTCAATATTACTTCAATTTTTTGTTTATTTGTTCCCTCCAATTTTGACAAAAATCACCGACTCCGTGTTTATTATTTGTCTATAACTCCTGTAAACGCTGACACATTTGAATACTAGTCACAAGAGATCTTGTCGTATAGTTGGAAATGACCTGCTACAATAACTTGAAAGAAAAACCTTCATACATCTTTTCGAAAGCAACAAAAGAGACTCGAAAAACGCTCTTTGACAATTTTTTATTGTAATAGTTCTAAAAGCAAAATATTGGTACAAAGATCACCACTTTGTAGATGAGCCATATTTATTTAGAGCCCTACTTTTCAACCCTCTCTGCGGAAATAAACCACGCACTTTCAGTTTTATGTCCGAGAGTAGCAAATACTTTTATGAGTCCGACCATTCTGATTTCACTCGAGCCGACCTAAAGGCAAACATTGAATGTCAGACATGTTCGATCACGAAACATATAAATCGCGAGATAAAGTGTCGAAAGGACGAAATTGCTCCGAGGAGGATTCATATAAGCGTGCAAAAGTGGTATTTTTCCTGAAACGCTTTTAAATAACACCAGACGAGTCAGAAACGCAAAACGGTTAAATATTGCAGGCCATCCGAACGTGAAAGCTTTCATATCTCACGGAGGACTCTTGGGGACGACCGAAGCTGTCCATTGCGGCGTTCCAGTGGTGGTAATGCCGCAATATGGCGATCAGTTCACCAATGCCAGAGCGCTGGAAGCGAACGGCGGAGGAGTCATTTTACATTTATCTGAAGCAACAGAAGAGAAAATCCACGATGCGCTGAGAACGATCCTGGATCCACAGTTTGTATTCCAGACGAAACTTATAGCAGATTTTTTGTCGGTGGGTTTTTTCAGGTTTCAGAAACAAGCGAAGGAGCTTTCAGCGCGTTTCAGGGACCGTCCACTTCCGCCCCTCGAAACCGCCATTTATTGGGTCGAATATGTTGCACGTCACCGAGGAGCGCACCATATGCGAACTGCAGCTGTGGACATGCCGCTCTACAAATATCTCCTTCTCGATGTGATCGCTTTCCTCTTGTTAGTCGCCGGTTTGGTTTTCGCCCTTTTCTTCTACGTCACTAGAGCCGTTTTCAGAAAATTATTCACGAAAAGAGACAAACAAAAAACCAATTAATCGAAATGTTGTTGTGTATGTGAAGGCTGTGCCTCTATCCATCTGTTAGTCTGCATAAATTTCGTAGGGAAATAAAAACGTCCAATTTATAAAAGTAGTAATCTTTTTTCATCTAATAGTCAACCTTTTATCCTTACGTACCTAAACGTGATATAAATCTAAACGGGACAACGGGACAAAAACTTAACAGGATTTAACTCTTAACCTACTTATGTCATTGTTTCAAGAACGATATTACAGCCAACGACGAACTCTAACTGAATTCTCCTTAAAAATATCAAATTTTCAAGACGTTGCAAATTTACACAATAAGGACAGGTAGAAATGAAAGAAAATTGCGCTCTTTAAGGACAACATTTATTATTAATCAAATTCCGGTCGCACTCGCTGCAATTAACTACCCACCCAGGAATTCCCTTTTTGCTTTAAGACGTTTCTTATGTTCCAAAAGCTGTTTGTTTAACCTGGAAAAAGTTTGCCTGTTGAAATTCTAAAAATAATTTAATATTGATGCCTCGAGGCAATTATTTGAATCAAGTTTGTGTATAAATTAAGAAGTTGATAAACAAAAAGAAAGCCATTTTGGTGAGTATTGATTTAGTAAAGTACGCAAACCGGCAACAGCGTGTGAGTGTTAGTTTCAAACATTAATAAATTAATTGAACCAATTAACGAGCAGAATTGGATTCTCTAATAAACCTCACTCGGAAAAAAAAAACATACATATTCACGGGTACAAAATTATTTTTTATTAGTTTACTGTAAAATCAGTAAAATTTCATTGTGCATGTGGTTAACAATAAAAGAATTTAATTGATTGTTGCTTAATTTTTACAGTGCGAGGTAATTGCTAATTGGATTGTAGTTTTATAAATAATAGTGACATTCATGACTTTTTATACAAGCCAACAATAGAAAACGCAATTTACCGGCCGTGCTATAATTGCCGTTTTTTTTTTTGTAGTGGCTTGCTTTTAAATAGTTGGTTGTTCAAATAATGATTCTTTTATTGCCATAAACGTTCACCCATTCAAACATGCAATTGTAAAAATTGTAGACATAACAATCAACACATTCCTGCGAGTTTCTTTTATTTCCCTTGAATGCAATAAAGAAAACAAAGTCAGGTCAGGTCAGGTCATTATGTAAATGTCCATCTCGTTGTTGTTTCATTTCGACGAGTCAATTTTTGGCGTTAAACGCATCGCATTAATATCGTGCACAAATTTTACATGTACGAATTTCCATACAAATGAATGCATATCGTTTTGTAGCGCACACAGCAGCAGCCCTCGCTTCGGAATTTCTAACCACATTCGTGATTCAATCGGAATCGAGTTAAAGCGAGCGAGAAATGATTTAGTGCCGACCGTCCGGCAGAGGGAGTCCCATTCAGCATGTTATTACGCCAATGGAACCGGCCGAAGATATATTCGTAGAGATTACAGTTTTTGGGAGGCCATTTAGGTATAGTTAATCTAAATTTAATTAAGTTAGCAGCAAATGTACTAGCCCTTATAAATTATCTGAAGCGTTGAGAAGGTCGGACTTTGGTGTGTAACCGCTGCCCGGCACTTTATCCATTTCCACCACGTTACTTAAAACAATACAATTCCGATTATTCGAATTCAATGGAAAAGGACCTCTACACTTTACAACTAACACCTATTTGCTTTTCAATTTGACCATTCTAGATTTTATTTCGTTTTGATCTTTGCGGAAAATAATATGGCAAAATAATTTTATTACGATGTCGAAAAAATTCCAGTCGAAGCAAATTAAATTTAGACAACGAAATTATTATACAAGAACACGACCAAAAAGGAAAACGAAAAGAACTGTTTAATCGAATTTAAGAATAAATTACACTACATTGTCGACAAACACAAATTTTAGATTTAATGTGGTCCAAAACTGTGGATTCTTGGATGCCCAGCATCCATTATGCATTCAAATTAAAAGTCGAAAAAGCCACACATTGACCTGTCACTGGCGCCCCTAAATCCGGTCGTCGCTTTCACGCGCATTAAAAATTTTATCTACTCGTAGCATCATCAAATAAGCGATTTCTCCCCCGCAGAAAAGTTTAAATTAGGAGCGAGCGGTTCGGAATCAGAGCCGAGGTATTTAGTGTTTTGTAGGTTGGCAAAGTTGACCCTTTTCTGTTCGTTTTGCGGACGAGATTCCGGACGTTCCGAGGCCGTCCATCGCCCAACTCCATTAACAAGCGAGTAAAGAAGTTGGCGCGTGAAGTTGCCGTCTCCTTTGGGAAAAGGAAGCCAAAAAACGGACATAAATTGACTCTCCGTCACGGGGACAATTTTTTTCTCTGATTTTATTCAGAGATTTTCAGAGGAAATCAATTTGTTGTTAAATGGCGACTTTAAACAGACGATTTCGTTTCAGCGGTATCATCTTTTCTCAGAGACAAAGAAGTCAAAATCCGCCGAATTGATCGATTTGAATTCTCTTCGGAGACAGGCAGAACGGATATTAGATTTAAACTTTTTCCAAGAGTCGACTTAAATAAGCGGAAGTGGGACTGGCGTCGTAAACTGTAGCACACGAGATATTTTTATTCCGCTATTTACCGACATATATCGCAACACATAAAACAAAATAGGTTCAGGAATTTCCTGATTACGGTTTTATCACCGGCAGGGATTTCAGGACGATTCGCCCTCGACAGGCATTTTTGCCATGTTATTACCGACCTTGATGGCATGATACAACAGAAGCTCGCATATTGCAACCGGTTTTCACAAAATGTTTAAATATTCACCAACTTTGCCTCAATCGAGCCTACGATAGTGTCGTAGGCCTCCCCTAAATTCTTTCTTATCAATAATCTAATTTTTATAAATCTTATTTGCGATTTCATTTGAAAATGAGATTATTTGATCTCGTTTCATCAATAACCAAGTCTCGTAATAATTTAGCTCTATTTTTAAATAATTTTGAAAATGATGTTTAAAAATTTCACCTACAAAATTATCATGTTATCTTATTACTTTTATTGACAATACACTATCACAAACTGCTTAAACGTTAAATTTTAACTATTTTTTAAATAAATAATTTTGTACATTTTTATTTTTTTATTTTTCCCTAAAATATAATTACCCGTCAATTAAGTTAAATATTTTATGAATACCTAAACATTTCCAAATTTGATGGAAAGTGGCGTGGGATTTTGTTGTTTTTTATTTTGAAAATCCAAGCTTATTTTAATTTCAATAGTTTTTGAAAGGTTTTTAATTATTTTATCTAATTTATATGTAAATTTAATCTAAAATAAATTGCTGAAACTTTCGAAAACATCAAATTGTGCGTTTTTTTTTTTCATTCTTTTGCAGCAGTGAGAATTTGAAAAGGGTTACAAAAATGTTAGAAAGAAAATGAAATGACGAATAGTTTTGTCGATTCCGATTTGATGAACGTGGTGTCGCAATTGGCCATACAAATCTGATGTCTGTAACAGCTTTTAGCAACATTTAGCAATAGTTGAAACGTTTTAATAGCGGTCATAAATAACATCGATCGTTCCGCTAAGCGTCCAACTATTGGAAATGGTATCCTTTGTCGTTTTTATTGTCAACAGCGATTAATTAGAATTGGTGACGTGCGAAGCGTTCTCGCAACTTCTTAATACCATTATGAATATGTCAGCGAGAGCGAAACATAATTTTCGATAATATCTCAAAGCAACGACACGTAATACAAACCGCTGCGCCGCATTTCCGAATAAATTTCGTCCCCCTCAAACAAATTTATTTTTTAATCTCGCGCCTACAATCAGAATATTTTTCCTCGCGAAACAATTACTCGGGAAGCGCCGTGGTGACGCAACATACGTACAAAGGAAATCTCTTGCAAACTTATTTCCTACATCATTTTTCACTCCGGAAAAGTGTATAAGTGCATGCCGCACTAATATCTCTAGGGCATAAAACTTCCGCGTCCCTGATTGAACTAAATGAACACGCGGCAAATGGGCTGAACGTCAACTGGGAATCTGCGAAATTGTGACAGTGGAAGAAGAGTATCGACACTAAGCGCCACCGCTAAAAATGTATTAAAGGCGACAGAAAGCAGAGGTCAATTCGGTCCGGAGAAATCCGGTGCTTCTCTGGGGACTCGCGCTAGACAACTTGACAGGACACGTTGCGGTACAAATTGATAAATAAAAAATAACACCACACCTTCGTCCACACTTTTAAATCTAATGCACTTTTAATAAGTTTATAAAAACTACATCAGCGAGAAACCCGTCGTGTTTGATAAAATAATAAAACGGCAAAAGTTGACTCGGAAAAAGAAACACACACCCAACTTCCTTCCTTTATAGCAATATTAAATTTCTACTTCTATTTCCAGTCGAATTTTAATTGTATCAAGTTAAAATAAGTCTTACAAACTTTCATTTGACGCTTTAACTTCCACTTTATCGAAAATTGATTTTGCGCTAACCAAAAACCGTGGAAAGTTGAAAACAAGCCTAAGCACTTTGAAGCCGCGTTGCGTAAATATCAAACAAGACACTGACACAATCAATTCAATAAATTAGCTGCTAGCAACCAACTCTTAATTAAATTCTTTCCGGTTAATTTGCCCCGCATTATGTTTTATTTATGAAATATCCTCAATCGAATCGATTTCTCATTAAACACCACCGTAAAGTCCAATTATAAACCGTAGCAATTACACCATCTTACCAAGTAACAATATTAAAGACTTAAAAGGCGGCTTAACAAAAAATTTAATCGAAGAATGAGTGGCGGGGTATTGATTTTGAGTAAAAATTTTAATTTGAGTACTTCCGTGTTTGATCGTTGTTAAATTTCGCCCACACTCACTCAGCGTGATGAACTCCCATGATGGGAATTAAATAGTAATAGTAGTAACAATCGGGAGGTACTTATGGTTATGCTTGTATCGCATGAAAGCTTGTCGAGTCGAGATCTTCAACAATTTATTAAGTCTTATGAAAATCGCATGTCGGAAGGTGTAGCACAACATAACAAATTAATTACCATATCAAATTCTTAAGTTTATGCAAAACAGGCCGATATATCGGAAGGAAATTTGTCTCTCGTATGGTAAGTGAATTTCGACGTGGATTCCGTCCAATGAACGTTCGGCTAGGTGTGATAATTAACCCTCGATGAATAATACATGAACAATTTCGGAGTATTACGACTTGTCACCCACTTGCATAAATATCAGCGGGAGTGATTTATCTACCGAGACGAATTTGATAACCGCACATGCGGCATATTTTTTTCGGTCGTCGTGTTTTAAAAATAATCAGAACATGTTCCGGTGAGAGGATGGATCTCGACGGCGAACGGCTGCTAGAACACTTTGTGGAATATAAAATAGACAAAACGATGATAAATTTTAAAAAGGACTCGGACGGTCGATAGAAATTCCAGCTGATGTAACATTATTTCTACATGTATTCATATATTGGAAAATGGAGCCGGATGTATACCTATGACGGGTTCTCTCTTTTTTGTAATATACTACCACGATTGAAAGCTTCGTTCAGGTATTTCCCAGGTGTTTTAAACAGATGTGCTTTTTTTCAGTAACAATACAAAAACTAATTCACATTATTTACACACCAAAAAAGCACTAATCAGAGTCATTATTAGCAAATACAAGGATTTATTCTCTCTCATTTTTTTCAATATGCAAAAACATAAATAAATACTTGCGGTTTAAATGTACTTTTTTGGTGGACACTTCCTGGGAGTTGTATCTGCAAGCAAACTTATTTTTGTGTTTGATGTGGTTGAAAAAGGGGTATTTTTTATGATTATAATTTTTACTCCATTAGAAATTTCCAATTTTATTAAAACCAAAGACATAACTTGAAAGATAGGAAAAGAAACATGTTTTACAAAAAGACACAAAATTTCAGACCGATACAGGGTGAGTCACAAACTTTTTAATCGTAAGAATCTTTAAATGCATCCATTTATACCTATATTTTTGCCATTAGTGCTAAAAAGTTATAAAAAGAACTACCACTGATGGCTAAAACAAAGTTAGTGAGGATTATAAAATTACTGAATAACTCTGTATAAATATAATTTCTTTAGATTAAGTTTAAAGCTATTGATTTTTCTCATACTTTACTTTAAACAAGCTTAATAAATTTAATTTGTCAAAAATCTGATTAAACGATTTTTTTTAATCTGAAAACGGTTTCGGTTTGAAATAAATGTGATAAACTGATGTTTTTAACGCTACAAGTTACAAAATTCACACGAGAGTATTTAATTTTGGCTTAATTACACCGTTAACGAATTTGATACGAGTATTTGCTTTGAATTAGAATATTTTTATCATTTTCCAAAAGAAATGAAAAAACAAAGAAAGCTCTCGTAAACATACTTAATTATTCTTAAAACGACATACAAAATAATGTAACTAACTCAAAATAATAAATGAGACATAGATATAAAAAATAATGACCACCATCGTGAAAATGTATATTTGGTTACACAAAAATACCCAACAAAAGCAGAAAGTTAATTTCTAGTGTAGATAGTCTTTTAAAATTAATACGTAATTGTGAAGTGGGAAGACTTGAGTTTCCTTTTGGCCGCCTTGACAACCTCTAACTTTTCTCTCAAACTCCCCACTTGAAACTTGACCATTCCGTTCTTTTTCCTTGTCACATTTTCAATCCTGGTTTTTAGGCCAAGTTTATCTTTAATAATTGCTTGAATCACGGAAACAAGTTCATCGTCATCTTTAATCATCAAACCGTCTAAAGTGAGAGTAGTTGCCGTATCATTGTGCTTCTCGAGCATATCCTCCAAAATGTCGTTCGTCTCCCTAAGGGACACAGTTTCTTCCTGCAAATCGAACAGCTTCTGCGTGAGATTTACCATCACCTTTTCACAAATGCCGAGATTGGGGGCAAGATCTGGTGTCACAGAGGTTGTTTGAGGAGGATCGAAATTATCGGTGGGCTTTGATTCATCCAAACTTAAAACTGTAAAAAATGTCAAACGTATGTTTAATTAAATTGAAGTTTACCTTCAACTTCGTATTTTTCGTTATTATATCTGTATCCCAAGTCGTCTTTTATAATAAAGAGCCAATAATAGATTTTATCTCCCACGTTTAATTTGGCATTGGATTCCCGGAACACCCACTCATTTCCCTCTCTTTGGAGGACGTCTTGGGAAAATTGTCCGGCCTCGAGTCCCTCCAGAGGTTTATTAATATTTCCATGAAAGGCGAATAATTGGATGCCTTCAGTATGAGGGATGCTCACTTTGAATCCACGAGGTCTGAATGCTTGTATTGAAGGTCGTGGAAGGTTGTAATGTCTCAATGGACGATAATTATGTGTTGGAATTGCAAAACAACTCCCCAACCCAACGATTAATAACACACTTTTGCAAACCGACATATTTAATTGAATCTGAATTTAGAAATGGTCTCCGCATCTTCCCAGTTCAATTTTATGCGAACATAAACTCTTGATAACCTTAAAGGTCATATAAACCGGTTTTTCACTTACTGCATGTATAGGAAATTCCAAGCCGCATCAAAATTGTAGATAAAAAATTCCCAACAATTAAATTTTATTTATACGCGAGAGCAATTTTGACGTACTTTATCTCGATTTTTGTGATACAAACGAGGGTCTTGTGCCGTAATGAAATGTAAATACATTTCGGAACCGAAGACTAACAAAGTGTAAATCTTACTGGAATTAACAAGCGTCACGTTACACATTTCGCTGAAATTAATATTTTTGCACAAAACACAACTAATTATTCTTCACCAGTACGAGATAATCCCTCACAATCCGGCCCTGCAGTCTGCCATATAATTACGCTCCGAAATTCCGTCGAGTCTTTCGACGAATTTAAAATTTAATTTAATGATGGGGTTTCCGACGGGTCTGGCCCTAATGAGGGTGTTGAAATGAAAAGGATTGCACCACTGTTGAATTTACGCTTATTCATTTAATTCTAATTTTAAAATAGAGCCGGTCATCGAAAATCCTGATAAGGGTGTACGATTTTCCAAAACAACCAAAAATAACGTTATTTTCGTGAATCGAATAGTTGCCGAGCTTTAATTAGAGGAAAAGCTCTTGAAAGTTTGACATTAAAAGCGACGGAATGCACCCGAATTGCTAAATTTGCAGCTAGATAAACTTTATCAATTCGCTTTATTGAATCAAATTGTTTTATTTTATTTCTAGAAAAAGTCGACCCTTATTTACATAATTCCAGCAGGACGTGAAACGAAATCGCCGTTTTGCAACCGACTAATTGCCAGTTTGTTACAAATCATATACTTGATTGAGTGCGAACGGGTTGAGCAGAGGTCGTTTTAACCCCCGAGGTTTTATTGGGACTTTGTCTTTTACGTCCGTTGTTGTTTATTTAGGCCAGAACAGATTATACGGATTGTCTACGTGGGGGGAAATAGAAGCTTTTGTATACCAAATGACTTAAAAATTTACTCAAGTGAAGATTCGATTTAATATCCCAAATTGACGTTTCGCGATTCGTTCGAGATTGTTGTTTCATTTTATTGGCTCATATTTTTCTCAAAGAATCGAATTTATTGTTGTGTAAGTTGGCATCGAGTATTGACCAATTTTATGCCAACATCAAAACTTTAATTCCTCTCTCAGATTTTATTTATAACAAATGTTTTTAACATTTTTCGAATATACCTTCATGAGTGTGATGGAAAATAGATTTATCGTGTTCTAATGTAATGTCCATTAACACTGGCCACAGTGACATTTGTCTCTGTTTCATTTAAATAAATCAATGAAACGATCAAATCGAATGCCAGAATTAAAATTGACTTGGCGAAGAAAAAAGTCAAAAATACGGTAAAATTGGTTTGTTGTCGATAAATACAGTCTTGTTCATGATGATTTAAAAAAAAGTTTAAATCGTTTTTTTAGAAAATGGGAAGCCCCCCAGGTAGGGGTCTATTCCTTTGTCACATCATTGAAAACAAGCGTTAAACAAAGCTTTATCTGTAGACAATCGTAATGTTGTTCAGTTGATACCACACATTCGCGGATCCGAGAGCGAATGCCGGAAACAATACACCGGATTTACCTGAACTCTCTTCGTGTAGTTGCATTCAAAACAGTCGGGTTTAAAGTTGTTAGAGAATGGGAAAAACAGGGTCGTGCTTGAAAATGTTTTAACGATGGATTCGTACCGTGAAAGCCCGACCTCCGATGCGACAATATGTTCGAAATTGTTTTATTTTCCGAGATGAAACTGTAAAAGAAAGTTTTGCGGGATACCAAGTGGAAAATTGGATTCAAGTTTTTGTGTGGGCCGAGTAAACACGGGACATCACGACTTTGATCGAGCCGAAGCGCATATTGCTTTTCTCCCATTCGGATAAGATTTTCTTCTCATCTTTTTTATACCATCCCATTACTGCTCATATTGTACTTTGCATATATCGAAGACCAAGTTTTGTAATAAGCTTTTCTTTGATTTGTTCACTTGCAGTAAAAACAGATAGGTTTGGGATCGAGCCAATATGCAAAGATTTGCGAATAAATTGTTGTGAAAAAAACTGGGAAAAATTATATGGCAAAACACGTATCGCAGCCTCCGGATGAAAACTCGTAGGAGGATTGAAAGCTCACGTTTTCCTAACACAGTTAGAAAACTCTTACCTTTGATTAGGAACAGTTCTATATTAGATTTACAATGCTTTAACTTTGATATAAATTTAGTTGAAAACTCGGGTGATGGAACACTTTTGTTATTCTTTTTTAGACGCTGCCTCCCCCCGAGGAAGTAAAGAATGTTCTTGGCAACTCACTTTAGCAGCGTTTCGTCTTTTACTTTTTCCAGAAATATATTAAATCGAAGAGATATTACATTCAAAATAGCTTCAAACCGTAAAAGTAGACAAGAGAAACGTTTCTCTTCCAAAAAAAAACACCTTCTGTTCTTACAAATCAAAACATTGAAACCGCAAAAATCGTTTTTGTTAATTTTCAAATAACGCAACAATTTCCTGGAAACGGAGTGATAGAACTTAGACAAAGAACCGGGGCGGAAATGTGCATTACCGCAAAAGACGCAAATTGCGCGTACGTTGTAAAACTCGTCGGAAATCAGACCGTAAGTGTTCATTTTATACCGTGGTGCTCAGCAATGGCAATTACAAAGCAATTAGGAGCATTCATTTCGTATAATGAAATTTATGTGGAACGACGATGCATCTACAGAGCCCTATTTACAGCGACATCAAAAATCCCCCTCAAACAAAATTAAATGTTACTATTCTTTAAAAAAATCTCCACAAAGTATACACTAATTCTCTAATGCAGTAAATTTTGAATAAGCAAACCCGCGCATCCACCATTTCTAATACTTTCTATTTACACGTTTAGTTGTATACAAAGTACTCGTATTTCAAAAATGTTTACCGTAAATACCGTGCCTTTAATTAAATTTCTGATTACCGTGAGCTGCAATTGTAATAATTTAGCAGCGGTAGATACAGAACTCTTTTTTATACACAGAATTACCGATAAATTTAGGTAACTGCAACGACTCTTAACCAACAATCATAATTTAAGAATATAAAGTCAAGAAGTAAACGATTTGCGTCTTAGAAATGTAATTTTTTTTGTGAAATTCTCCATTTTGCGTTTATTGTCCTTGAAAAATATAACAGCCTGATTGCACAAGGACTTGTGCCATGCTTCACACGCTCAACCAACGAGAAGATACAATTAAAGTATCGAAACGTCGCGACGAATTTAATGTTTTATTTCCCTGTGTCCTATAAACCATTTTCTACGCAATCAGGTTATTGTAATTTTTTTTGAAGTTGGTGTGTGTCCAATTTAGTAAAGAATTAAATATATTTAAAGAAGATTCTAATGTGCGTTAAATACAAATCATTTCTAGTAATGTACGGTGTCTTTATGGTTTAATAGACTGTGGCGCAGCAAAAGAGGGTTTGGGGATTAAAACCCCTCCCAAAACAAAATCAGGCAAAATGATTTTGTAGTGGTAATAAGACTAAAATTATATTTTCGAAACAATCAAATTAAACATTCGAATTTTATATACACTTATTTTCAATGTTGTCATAAATTCACAAGATTCACAAAAAATTTTTACTTTTTTTATTTTGTAATTTGTGGCAAAACTGTACCTCAAACGTTATAATGTTTTTATGTATGCATATGTGAAATGTTCCTAGAAATCGATTAGCGTCGAGAAAACTGCAAAATTCTTAATAAAAAATTATTTTTTTTCCAACGGTACAGTTGGTTGCAATAAAAAAGGAAAATAAAATTTTCTTTAGATTGAAACAGTTTTTGCCCTTGTCAATTTAGTTGTCAATTTGTCATCTGTCGCATTCAAATAATTTTTTCTGCAGTGCTGCACTGAAATACCGAGAGCATCAAATGCAAATCAAGATAATCAATTACATAGTTGAGAACTTACGTGGAAACCCAATGAGTAGTAGTACTACAGATTAACTGTCAGTTCTAACTTAACCTTTTAAACTATGGAGAAATATAAAAACCTGTCATATTTTTGCTTTGACATTTTCTAATTTTTTTTGCAACCAAGTGTACAAAACAAAAACGGACTAGTGTCAATAATTAAGTTATTAGCAATAAACTACTCCAGGTGTCCAAAATCGCTCAAAATTTCGACAAAAATCGAAAAAACTAAACCATTTGCATTCTTAGGGATTCAAGAAACTTATACAGAGTTATTCACCAGAGGGTTATTTCTGATTTTTTTTGCCGCAATCAACAATACCAATATCACTAACTGCTAAATTAAAAATATTATTTCTTTTAAATTAGAAATCAAAGTAAGTTGGATAGATTTGCCAGAAATGTCAGACTGACAGATAACTTATACAGAGTGATTCGCGAGAAATAATGAGCCTGACCAAATTCTCGATGCAACCAACAATCCGAGCACACTTACAATTTGTCAGTTTTGACATTAAAATAATGAAAAACAGTAGTAATTGAAATACGAACACAATAATGGGTATTAGTAAAATAAGAGTTACAGAAGGCACCCATTCAAGCTTCATCCAGTGGTACCCTTCTCTTTGATAAATTAACAGGAATCCAATTTACTCAAAAACTAACCTGATCGTATCAGAAGGCTCTTTCTTCAGGGATATCATTGGACATCACACAGGCAGCAAGAGATGCATTCTTCAAACATTCTCGATAAACTAAAACCATGTCAGTCTTCTCATCATTGGAATAAGTCTACATTTTGTTCAGTTTATAATAAATTTGTAGCGTTTGTCAAAAATGACAATGATGATGATTGATGATAATTGATGATGATAATAGGCATCGTGGATTCAAATTATAATTTTTTAAAAATGTCGCAAAGCAACTTGCGTAAATGTAATGGTGGTTGCATCTAGAATTTGGTCAGGCTCATTATTCCTCGTGAATCACTCTGTATTTAATCAAATTTCACAAATAAATTAACAAGTT